TTTAAGTGAGATAATTTTAAAACAAACTTGAAAAATCCCTGAGAACTGAGGAGCAATGAATAGCTAGCAGCTGTTTTAGTTTTGTAATTCGAAACTATGGTGGTGTTTCGTTCTCTGAGTTGGATGATTTGGTTGTGAAGCTTTCATTGTTCTTCTCAACAACATCAGAAGAACAATGAAAGCCCCACAACCAAAACATCCAACTCAGAGAACGAAACACCACCACAATCATTCACCTGAGCTACCAATTTTTCTCCACCATCTCATAATTTGAAACTTTTCAACTCGACGACCTTACACAAACTGAAATAAATTTATATATGTATACTATCAATATCACAGTATAGCAGAAATCGCGTGAAGCTGCTGTAAAAGTAGGTCATCGAATTACTAACTATATTATGGACTATACTCTGATGTGAATGCCATTAATTCAATCCCTCACATGGTTATAGGTGTTAATCGCCTAGAGATTTGAAACTCAAGTCAAACGAAGTATTCAATAAGTATGTGGCTTTCATTAAATCTTTAACTGAGTTTAGTCTGGATGTAAAATTCACCTTTCCGTGTATAACAAGGCAACTAACTATCTTTTGTTCATGATAATTTATGTGTATTTGTAAAGGAAACAATCCTACTGTTAAATAAATCATAATTTTATTCCAAAAAATGAGAATCATTTTCATCATAGATGGATGATTATCAAAATTTCTAATAATAACGAACCTTTAGATAATTTTTAAAAAATAGAACGAAACAAAGTTATCCAATAGCCCTAATCTTTGTATACTTTTTTTTTATTTCTGACTTTTCTCCATCTAATGTTAGTTGTTTGGTGAGCATAAATCACTTAGTTAAACATATTTCACTAACTTTTATCGTATTACACATGTTAACCTTGACATTCTTATCACATTTTCTCAATCAAGGGAAATTTGATCAAGTGAGAAAAGTAGTTTTGATGACTGATAAAGAGATACAATTGTTGATTACTTTGAGTAATGATTAAATTAGGCTGAATTTTGTTTCGAGTTAACATGATCAGATATATTATCTGTGACAGGTTGTAACTTGTGATTTTTAAATACAATATTACTGTTGAAATATTGAGAAGTTTGCAGATTCATACTACTTTCTATGACAGGAGTCCATTTGTAAATGAGTGATTTTGTCAACAGTGCCCTAACATTTTAATTTTGTTGTAGTTATATTCATAGGTTATCAATCAAGTAGTCTATCCTATTGAACAATTTAGTACGAGTCATTTAAATCATGATATGTAAGATTGTAATTAATACTTAAACACTAACTATGCATAGTTTTCAATTTTTAGAATTATATAATGATATTTAGTATATAGATATTATCTTACTATTTTTGAGAGGAAATATGAGTCATTTTCATCAGGATATAAACAATAAACTCGAAATAATAACTAATTAAAAGTTATCTACAAGTTTCTTCTCTATACGCATTCATCTTCATCAGTGCACTCAATATGTAGTCCATTGTATTTCTGGGGCAGAGTTTTGGAGGTTTGTGTTTTTACACGTTTGAAATCATCGTGAGGAAATTCTCGGAGTTCTAGTTGAGAAGACGTGACTAATGGAGTTTAACCCTGTCGGGTGTAGGCAGTAACTACCAAAGACAAATGGGTGAGGTCGCGCAAAATCCCCCGATCAATCAGAGTTAGACATTAACACCGTTGGATGCAGGCCAACACAGTGGTCCGATGGTTAGGCATTCACGCACAATATCGAAGGTCCCGGGTTCGGATCCTGCGAGGTGCTGGAGTCGTGGATTCGCACTGCTGATGAGTCCAATACCAGGACGAGACGGCCGTCCAGTGCTTCCAGGTTTCTAATGGTGGTCTAACATTGTAATTCTACCAGCATTTCATAAATTGACATTGAAATCATTCTCTACTTGTTAGTTATTTTGGTGAAGGTAGTCATTCAATTTTTTCCTTAAACTGATCAGAGTTAGACATTAACACCATTGAGTGTCGGCGAGCTCAGTGGTCCAGAGATTAAGCGTTCGTTCGCGAAACCCAAGGTCCTAGGTTCGAATCCTGCGAGGTGCAGGATTCGTGAATGTGCATTACAGATGAGTCACACGTCAAGACAAAACAGCCATCCAGTGCATCCAGGTTTGTAATAGTGTTCTAACAATGATTCATTCATGATTTTAGTGTGTAAAAACGATATATTTATATTTTTTCAAGAAGAATCAGTTGATTTGAAATATCTATCTATATAACAAATAACAATATCTTGGCTTTTGTGTTAAACAAGTAGGCATGAATGAATCAGTCTAATTTATATTGATAATTGTTCACTGAATATGTATAATCAGTGTTAGTTCTACAATATTGATTGAATTCTGTGTCAAACACAGAACACAGGCTGAATAACTTGTCATAGTGTCATTCATTGTACTTTAACTGTCGATGGATAGATGTACTCTGCCGGAAACTTTATTCACATTCTCATTTCAGTTTTTGATATTTCTTATTCTTGTAAGCAGACAATACTTTTAAATTGTAATAGAATAAGGGCAGATACTTTCATACACAAATCCAAATTATTTATTTACACTTGATACAGTAGTAATAGGAGTTACCAAGAATTTACTTTACTAGTTTGATAGTATTTCTGACAAATTTGTAATATTATTTGATTTAAGAATTGAATCTTGAATCTAATATCTTAAAGTATATCCACTGTCTAGTTTTTGTGCTGTGTGCTAGTCTGTTAGGGATCACTAGCGTTCAAACCATCTCAAACATGCAAGAAATTAAGAAATTTAACTGCTTTAAAAAAATCATTTTATTATCTGTGAAAACTTCACCCAGAATAACATATTACGAAAGGTTCTGTGAAGACATGAAGGATGGACTAGCATTTATTGGCTCTCTAACACCAAACATTACAAGTTCAGTTTCTAGTCTCTTATCATCATGTTTTTATTTACTATCAGTTCAATAGCTTCTTCCTCAATTTATTATAAATTGTAATATGCATATTGTAAAAGACCTTTTGAAAAAGTTCATAGTTGAAGAAAAGAAGTCATTTACAATGAAAGCCTGTTTGAGAAGATATAAATTATTTGGTGTTAAAATCAAGTACGATGATAAGACATTTTTAATCCTGATGATTTTTCCCCATTTTCGAATACAACCATAAGTGAAATCAACAACAAAAATGTCATCATATTAGATAGACTCCTAGAAGTGTCAGTTTTATATTTAATTCAAGATGAAGAAAACATAATCTTTGAACTTAGATAATGTAAATTAAATACCTGACATTGAGTCTATCATTCCTTCTTTCTGATGTCTTTTGGTTGATCAATAAATGTCAACAATATTTCATTTCTGTTTTATGTTAACTTGGGTCATCTAACTGCCTTTATACTAATAAATTCCAAATTACGATTACGTTTAGTATTATATTTCAAGATTTTCGTTCCATAAAATATGTTTTACATAAATTGAGAAACAAAACATAGTTAAGACTGTCAAAATAAACTGTATAATACACTGTTTGCGATTGATCAAGCACCTTGATTAAGTTTAACGATCACTGAGTCCAAGAAGTGACCACATACTTTCACTGTGATGTGATGATTCCGATAATATTGATGTTACAAACACTGCTTCTTCACTGAATGTCCATGTGACTGAAACATTCTGGATGTACATTGTAGTAAGAAATGAACAAAGCTTAGTATGCCCTCCAACAAGGTAACTAACTAAATAATAGTAAATTATTATTATACCAACAACTTTCCATCACAAATATATGAAAATTTTATTAACCATCATTTTGGCGCTATTCAAAAGCGCAACTTTATAAGAGCTTTGATCGTGAACAGCTCTTGTGGTCAGGTAGAATAAAGTTTGAAAGAAAGCAGAAAAATGTCAGATTAGTAATACATTAGGTAATTATACTTCAAAATAAGTAGTGCACGCTTAGACGAATGTTACTGGTTACATTTGTATTCATTTGTAGAATCACCGTTTGAACATTACGTAATGCTCATGGGGTGATGAGGAGAAAATAACATGAAGAAAAGAGTCACGAAAGACTTTCTACGTTGCAACCAAAGATAAAAGTATTGACGAACAAGTGTCAAAATCATATAAAGAACAGATTACTCCTCAAGTTTTCAGGATAAGTTTTTCAGTGCAACTGTTTTAAAGTAGCGGGTGGATTAGGACTGCTCTTTCCTCTCGACTTCTATATACACTCTAGAGGAGTATTATTTAGGTATATGAAGGATGGAAATTAATAGCATAATACTGTTGAATAAGGGGATCATAATATTACATCATGTAGAGCAAAAATAAGAGTACATTTAGTCAGCTAAGTACCATGAAATTCTAGTTTTTACAGTGCTCACAAAGCATGTAAATCAATCACATAGATCAGGCTTTATAGTTCTACATTTTCTAAAAACAACCTCTTGTCTACTTTTACCATGGGACTGTTCGTCTTGCCAGAGCCCTTGAAAACATAAAAATGTCTCACATAAACGGACGTCTTATTCATTAAAAATGCCTTATGGGCTCTTACACCTAATTATGACCACTACTTATATCACTGGTAATATATTATTACTGATGGAGTAAACTGGGCTGGAATCAGCAGCGTATAGCATGAGATGAAACCTGTATGTTAATTCTAGACCTGAAACCAGGGTGAGTGGAGTAACAATCAATTAATTCATTGCTACCTCGAAAAGCATAAAATTCGTGTGCTTTCGCAACCGGGATCTTATGAAATGCTTTAATAATCAAATCCGACACTTGTAAATCTTATATCTGGAGATTTTTCTCTTTTAGACAGCGGGTTATTATTCCTCACAGTTACGCAGTAGTCTGATGTTTCATTGCGTAAATTTGTAACAGTTATGACATTCTCCTCAGTCATATTATGTACAAGAATAAACAGTTCATTAATATCAGGAGGCTTTGTGATAAATCTCAAAAAACTTACCGACATCGAATACTTTGAAATCTAGATCCTTGAACCGGAAATTCGTTTCCACAATACCTGTTGTCTTAACTCTAGATCTCAATACATCTTGTTCAGTTGGTAAGTAATCTGGAGCAGATATCCTATCTATTGAACCGAGGTAGTAGCCAGCAGAATCGTTAAGTTGATATTCCTTGGAACGCGCGAAGCACTTCTGCACACTTGCATTGCTCCATAATGTTCGTAAAAGCTTTGATAAATCCTCAGGAAAGTCCCCTTCTTCTACAATAGCCAAATACCCGTTAAGGTGTTTTAACTCTTCTGCATGGTCGAAATCATCTGCCGTTATATCCAGAGATTCCATTGCTTTTACTATTTTTATCATGGACTGAAGGGTGTTGGCAAAAATGATGGGTTTGTATTCTTTTCTCTCTTCTTCTCTGTAACCTTCTCCATGTATTATTTTCATTTGTTTTAAAACTGTTGACTTCCCACACTCACCAGCACCAAGGAGAAGTAACTTGACCTCCTTCATGGATTTTTCAGCATCCTGTCGTATTTGCTTTTCTATGGCCCTACTCTTATCCTGCTGAACTTTCGCTGGTTCACTCCATGCACATCCCATGTCAGATATTTGGACTATTAACCAGACTACAACTAGGTTATATATAAAGAGTCCGCTAACATGAAATAAAAAGAAGTGAACGAGTACTTGGAATACTGTATATATAGACTAACAGATAATTTAGCCAATTGCTGGAGGGCTTAATTTCTAGGAAAAACTATATTGAGTATTTCAAGGTTGAAGGCCGAATTCCAACAAAACTTTTTGATTCCATAGATTTATTTAAAACTTAAAATTGAAAATATATTAACTGTGTATCATTAGGATGAACAAACTGACAGACTTCAAGTGTTTAAATAAATCACTTTTGACGTTACATACTTTGAATCTTCCTGAGCATGGCTGAACAAGTTGGTTTTTTCTTATACCCATAAGTGATTTCTAGAGAGAAAATGCGTATCAAAAGCAAGAAGTAAAGGGAAAGAATGGTGGGAGGTATTATAAGAGCATAGGTCTTGGATACAAAACCCCCAAAGAGGCTATTTACGGGACCTACATTGATAAGAAGTGTCCCTTCACTGGGAATGTCCGTATCCGTGGTCGTATCCTCACAGGAGTTGTACGTAAAACCAAAATGAATCGGACTATTGTTATTCGTCGTGACTACCTTAAGTATGTAAAGAAGTACAATCGTTACGAAAAGCGGCATAAAAATATGTCTGTACATTTATCTCCTTGTTTCAGGTAAGATCATTTTGTTTGCTTACACTTGCAGAGATGTAGCCATCGGTGATGTTGTAACTGTCGGTGAATGTAGACCACTGAGTAAAACAGTGTCTTTCAATGTCATCAAAGTTTCCAAAGCTGCTGGTTCCAAGTACAAGAAAGCCTTCCAAAAGTTTTGATGACTTAAATAAACTTACAGTTTGATCGTATATCTCGGTTTTCTTGTGTGTTTGGCTAGTTTATTTCGGTGCAGAACCTTGTCGGTCTCGTTTACTTTGTCATTGTCGAGGTAGTCTTTCGTAAGCAGAAGCCACATTCCTGTAGTCTAACTAAGTGTATTTCTATGCGACTTAAATAACCTTACAGACCCGTGCAAGTTGGTCTCTAGATTAGTGTCACATAGGCATTTTCGGATAGACAGTGGGAACTCAACCAGTATACCTGCTATGCAGCTACCCGTACCGTGAGTTGTAAATTGGCTATATTTTCCTGTGAATGACCAAAATTACTCAGCTGGCTGCCCTATAAACTTGACTGTAGTTGCTAGTCACCTCTATAGTAGAGATGTACTTCTTATGGATACTTCACTGAATCCAGTATTATAAACTTTCGAGTCACTATTTGTTGCATAACGTAATTTCGAGAATATGACGTCAATTAGTATTTCTAGCCACCTATCTGATTTTAAATTTGTGAGACAAGGGGCTGAATTGCTTGTCTACGTTTCCGTTGATCTGACTCGAGTCTCCTGTCACCCACACTGCTATTCATTTAGGGCTTAAAAACTTGTGACGTATGATTTCCTAAATCGCATAGTAAGTCCACGTTAACTCTGGTTACTTTATTTTGGCATATAATATGTCAAGCAATAGTTTCTGCTACGCAATCGTAATGTAAGTGCTGAATTGCTTTCTAGAGCTGAATGTTTGTAATATGTTTATTACCATATGGATTTCTGATCACATGCTATTTCAGACAATTGATATATGGTGGCTCCCTGTCCTGTTCCAAAGTAGGATTGAATAGTTTTGTGCTCACTCGAGTTGGTCTAGTCTCTGAATCATTCTGTCAATGCACGGGGAGCCACTTGAAATTGCCTGGGAGCGAATCATGTTCTTCCCAGCTATAAACTGCACAAAAATATCCAAAAAGGATTAAAGATAAACCAATATGAGATTGTGGTGTCGTAACTAGGCTTGATCACCCTTAAATTCTCAAATATTACTCTCGCATACTAAAATTTGAACGATACAGAGAAGATTAGCATTGCCCCTGCGCAAGGACGACACGCAAAATCGTAAAGCGTTCCATAGTTTTGCTGTATAGACCACATCTTCACACTACGACAGGTCCTGGAACACAGACACACATTTAGGCGTCCTACAATAGTTGTTTTCCTGGACCTAGAAGCGGCATTTGACTCAGTGGATCGTGAGGTTCTGTGGCAGTGTCTGTCATTGAAAGGTGTACCAAAGAAGTACATTAACTTTATACAATCTCTCTACTCGGACACCACTGGTCAAGTGAGAGCTAATGGCGAACTGTCAGCGGAGTTCTTTACTTCAAGTGGTGTCCGTCAGGGATGTCCAATTTCTCCATTCTTGTTTAATTTTATCATAGACGTGCTCCTAGAAATAACCTTATTCTCGTCTGAATTTTCAGGAGTAGACCTTTTACCAGGTGGCTCGCTAATTGACTTAGAATATGCCGATGACATAGTCCTACTTGGTGAAGACGCTGACAAAGTGCAGTCTCTCGACTACCCTAAGCAACAATGCAAGCATGTTTGGGATGTGGTTTTCCCCCTCGAAATGCAAAATATTGCTTCAAGATTGGGTTGCATCGGCACCTGAACTGGTGATAGGGAGTGAACGTGTAGACCGCTTCACTTATCTGCGGAGTCTCATCAGTGCCGATGGCCTGGTGACTGACGAAATCTCAGCTCGGATACAGAAAGCTCGATTAGCTTTTGCCAACCTGCGTCACTTATGGCGAAGGTGAGATATCCGTTTGCTGACTAAAGGACGAGTCTACTGTGCAGTCGTTCGCTCCGTCTTACTTTATTGTTATGAAACATGGCCAGTGAGAGTAGAAGATATTCGTAGGTTACTGGTTTTCGATTATAGGTGTCTTCGAAGCATTGCTCGTATATCGTGGGACACCCGAGTGAGCAACGCTGTTATTAGGAATCGGGTGCTAGGTAAGAATGGCAGATCAATAGATAAAGTGCTGGAACTTCATCAGTTGAGGTGGTTGGGACATGTGTTGCGTATGCCTAACCACCGACTGCCTCGTCGAGCTTTGTTTTGTAGTGTAGGAATAGGTTGGAAGAAAGTTAGGAGCGGCCAAACCAAAACATGGCGCAAATCAATGAAGTCACTGACAAGTGGACTGATTCGTGTCGGTAATTGTCGACTACCTGGTTGGGGTCCGCGAGACGAATTGGATTTGAATTGACAATTACATCTCTGTGCTGATGTGGTATGGCAACATGAACTGATGTACTTAGGTACGAAGTTCTACGCTGCATCTGACTGACTGACTGAAATATTGCGCCCCACTAATCAGTGACAACTCTCCTCAACCAAGCACTGGAGACTGGCCTCATTACTCTGAAGTATCCCAGTTACTGTAAGTCGAACTGCAGCTTGGTGAGCACTGCTAAGACGACAATGGTCAACGTAGTAAGTTCTTTCTCTAGGGTGTTGTTGAAGACTTTTCCCCACGAGCTAGTATGTATGTGTACAAGCTCAATGTCGTTATTCGTTTTTCCTATGCTGGGTTCCTGCATATCAGCTCCATAAAGACTTTGGTCGGGAAAAATTAGAGAAATGATTGCAGTTTTAAATCTAGCGATAACTCCATAAATTCCATAATCTAATTGTTACCAATGCTTTATATCAACGCATTGTATTGTAAAAACTGAAAGTTAGCAATATAAACTATATAAGAAATATATCTAATCACGTTGTAGGTAGATATAAATCTAATCAGCAGAGTAAGCTTATTTGAGCGCGCTAAATATACGCGGCATCATATGGCGGAATCACACGATATAGTCAGATGTCTAGTTGTGCAATGATTTTCTTAGAATATTGATTACCAAAACGATTTGCTTCAAATTATACTTAATACTAAGTACACTAGTAACTAGAATTATGTTTGAATGATAAGTACGTTTTCTTTATTGAAATGTGTGAAACACACGAAATTACTTCATACCTCCGACAACAGTGTATCATTTTTAATATGTTTCATCCTGATTATCATGATTTTAGACGTTTTAACGTAGACCGTAAACATCCACTTATTTCCGTTTATATTACTGATAAACATACACTACAAAGCTCCTAGTTCATTACATTTGAACTGATACACAATAATGACCTTCATAGAATCTTAGCGCATGCAATCTCGTAAAATTCACAATCGAAGGAACACCTTTACACAATAAAGGAATTCTATGACTACCCACTTATTTATATCATGTATTCTCAACCTGCAGGTTGAACCACCCGGTAGTATCACTGTCTCTACGAAATGTGACTCAAACAGGAACACACAAACATGCACTGAGTGCACGAACCAAATATATGTACTATAGTTTACAAGTAAATCTAGCCATTTATATCTCTTAAGCTGATTAATTCAGGAGGAAATTTTGAAATAAAACAAACATAAGTCAGGAAGAATTTACTTGTTTTAAAAAATTTTATTTTACAAATAATAAAGCTGAAAGACTAAATATTCTGTGAGTTTGCTTGATGAAAGACTGTGGTTTTAAAAAAAGTGAAATGAAGTCAAGTTATGCTTTTCTAGGTTATTCGTCACCATCGCTAGGTTCTGAAGTTCCTATAATCCCTTTCGCTAGACGCCATACTTTTGAAAGTGGACCAGAATACTGTGTTGAGTCCAGAGTTCCAGCATCAACTGTAGTTGTTTCACACAATTCAGATTCGAGTGGTGAAGTTACAGAAATTAGTTCCCAACATTCTAAACCAACAGATAAGTCGTGTTCTTCGAGTTTATCGAGTGAATGTACATAATCGAAGCTACGTGCTGTACATAAACCGGATTGATCCACTTGTTTCTCTTTTACAGTTACACTATTATCCTTCGGTAAGCCATACATTTCATTTACTTCTTCACCTTTCTCCACAAAACACGGTGGACTAAATGGAACTGTAGAATGATCCATTAAAGTCAACGATGGAATTGTTCCAAACAGACCATTCAGTTTTATATTGTAACATTCATCAAAGTACCTAAACGGAAAGAGAAAAAATAATTAAAAGACAAGAGCATTTGAATAATCTGGAAGATAAAGAACCAATTATTCATTCGATAAGTTACGAAACAATGTCAGAGTCTCAGTTACATCGTAGGACTTCGTACATGAGTACATAAGTTCAGGTTGCCATAACGCATCGGCACAGAGACGCAACTGTCAATTTACACACTATGGTGATAGGGATAGACGTATTACTGGTAATGGAGATTATGGTTCGAAGACATGATTCAAAAAGTATAATTCAGTGAGATAACTTTAGAAAGATAAAGATGACGAGAAATTCAGGTTAGAATTTGAGAGAAGACAAAGAATGGATGCATATACGGCATCTCAAACGATTTTGAGCCATGTTGTTCAAGGTCTTTAACAATTGGTTACTTTCGTCTCCAGGACCCCAACCAGGTAGCCTACATCTACCAACGCGACTCAGTTCAGCTGTCAGCGACTTCGTGGATTTCTGCCATGTTTTGGTTTGGCCGCCTCTAGCTTTATTCCAACCTACTCCTACACCACAAAACAGATCGTTGAGGCAGTCGGTGGTTGGACATACGTAACATATGTCCCAACCACCTCAACTGATGAAGTTTCAATACTTCATCTATTGATCTGCCATCCCTATCTAGTACTCATTTCCTAACTATAGCACTGCTTACTCGGTTGTCCGAGGATACACGAGCAATGATTCGAGAACATCTATAACCGAAAACTAGTAACCAACGAATGTCCTTTACTCTGACTGGCCTTCTGAATTCCTCATCACCTTTTTCTTTTTAAGTTTATTTCACTAGATTCTACTTCTTGAATATCTTCAAACCCTAATCTCTCCTACTACTGCTAATAATTTCACTACCTCTACTAGTATAGAATTTGAATTGACAATTATATCGCTGTGCTAATGTGGTAAGGCAACTTGAACTGATGTACTTACGTACGAACCACGTTTCACATTCTTATAGTAGGACGGAGCGACCTGGTGCGCAATAGACTCGTCCTTTGGTTAACAAACGGATATCTCGCCTGCGACATAGCTGACGCAAGTTGGCGAAAAGCCATCGGGCTTTCTGTATCTGTGCTGAGATTTCGTCAGTCACCAGGCCATCAGCACTGATTAGACTCCCAAGATAAGCGGAGCGGTCTACATGCTCGACTACTTCACTTCGTATTACTAGTTCCGGTGCCGATGCAACCCAGTCTTGAATAAAGATATTGGTTATCACATAAAGAGAGAGAAAATATAAATCTAGACAATATTTTCGTTTATCACTTCTGTATAAACAAACTTCTTTCCATGTTTCAACTGTCACTTTTACAACACATGGGCCAAGGATAGATGGAGAATTATCATTAAGCAATTGTTGAATGCACTGAACATATCCGATAAGATCATTGACTAGCACGATGTGTGACAGTGGTTACATAATGAAAGTAACCACCGACTGCCTCGACGAGCTATGTTTTGTAGTGTAGGAATAGGTTGGAATAAAGCTACGGGCGGCCAAACCAAAACATGGCAGAAATCTATGAAGTCACTGACAAGTGGACTGAGTCATGTTGGTAGATGTACGCTACCTGGTTGGGGTCCGCGAGACGAAAGTCACCAATGGTTAGAGACCTTGAACGACATGGCTCAAAATCGTTTGCAATGGCGCAAGTGCATCCATTCGTTGAGCTCTCTCAAATCCTAATCTTATGGATTCGTCAGCACCTCTACCTCTGTCTTTCTAACCTTATCTGACTGAATTATACTTCTTGAATAATATCTCCGAACCCTAGTCTTCTTCACTACGAATAATACCTCTACTATCTCTATCACTATGGGATTTGATTTGACATTTGCGTCTCTATGCTGATATGGTATGGCAACATGAACTTATGTACATACGTACGAAGTTCTACGTTGCAACTGACTGAATGAATGAAAGTGGCTCAATGATTTTTAATACACAGGACAAATTAGAACATTCACTGCATATCACTTGGAGCTACACAACAGAACTGAGATTGGTAACGGAAAGACTAGGATGTATTAATAATATCTTGATAGACTTATGTCATTCATTTCACCCGGTATTGACTAGGTTGTAGCGCTTTTCAGTTTGACTATCGATTATATTATTCATCTAATAATTTTTTGGGATTTTTTATTCAGGTCAAGTTACGCTAAGTATATTTTATATAGGATGATTATAAGAGGGGGCTCGAAAAAAAAACAGTTGACGATGTTCAGCAATACTTGTCGAATTAACAACTACTGCATAGGTCCAAAATCTCATTCTTCAGATTTGTAACTAATCTAGTCGACAATAAATACAATACAATAACAATGATTTATAAACCTACTATAGTGACGATAAAATTAGTCGACTAATGTTCATACATTGTGTGTTTGGATAGAAAAATATTACCTAGTAGACTTATTATTGTGACTGACCAGATTCCCAAGGCAATATAATCCAAATAATGGATTGTAAAATGTGTACCGTCCAGGAATCACATTTATACCAAGTTGTTCTAATCCACGTTTTACATCAATTCCTCGACTTTGGCATAACAGGTGAACAGCATGAATAACTGCAAAATACACACGACCCATATCATCCCTTTGAGGTAGTGCAGACAAAAAAGAACCAACCAAATGCAAATTACGACGAATAGAGACTGGCAACCAAACATCTAATATGATAGTCGAAACTCTTATTGCTACTGAGCAATAAGTTAAAGCAGTATGACTAGATGGGGTAGGTTCAGGGCCTAGAAAAGGTAATAAAAAATTAAAAATGATTTACAATTAAAAGAGATGACTAAACGTTTATGAGTAACTTGATGACATAAATGTTATCTATGTCATCTGTCATGAATTTGAAAAAGTATGAGATTACAAAATAGTCTAAGTTGTAATAGACACGTACAGTTGTAAGCCATCACATAAAGTTATATCATGTGCGTAGTTCCTTTATGGTTTGAAAGATTTTTATCACAGAATAAAAATGGTATGGAGTTTGAGAATTCTACATTGAATATAATAATAATTGGTCCATAACAAACAATACAGTAATATATGAAACGTTATCCAACTTCTTGACCCAGTAAATATTGTCAGAATGAATACTATCTTGAATTATGGCATTATAATCTTACATTGAATATGTGTGACAGCCTTATGAAAAATGATGGACATGTTGCAGCACATCATTAAAAATACAAAAATCAGAACACTAACCTGCAAAGATGTTTTCTTTATCAATATGTAAAGGTGAAAAAACAAACATATCCGGAGATAAACCATCAGTCTGAAATTTAAAAAAAAAACATTCAGACATTCAAGCCACTTTAAAATGTACTTACAAAAACTAAGCTTTCATCCAAGGATAAATGTTTTCAAAATATATTATTGTTCTCAGTCTACCGACAAAATTACCTAACTTATACTGTATTCAACAATGTAACCTAAAGGCATACTATGTAGTGTGGTGGACAAGAAAGTGTTCATGAACTAGTCCCTTAATGTTCTGGAACGGACAAAAATTAGAAAGGTTCGCCCGTCCGCGCAAAACGCTCTCGTACGGTTATGCGTATAACCACTACCACAAAAGTGCGACATCATACTTTCTCGTGATGGGAATATGATTTACGAAATCGGAAGGATAAAAGTAAATGTCCAACGTTTAACTCGAGTCGGTGGATACGAAAGATTCACTTGGGAGTTGGAAATCCAGATTCCTGACCAATGGTGCACATGAGTTTTAAGACAATGGGGAGATATACAGTGAATGAGCCTATTCTTTGTTACATGTCAGTGACCCAGTATTAAAAATGGGGTTACGAACATCAATCATGATTCATTTTATGGCTTAAATGGATTCGAACAAAGTTTTTCACTGTATGAAGATGTCCTTAACCTCTTCTACAAAGTTATATGCATGAGAAACCACTATGGTGATATGAACAATTATTCACTCTTATCAATCAATTCAACAATTTTCCTTATTTAAGCCATCTTGACATTCCGATAACAGGTTGTAATATTTCTGGAAAATGCGAATAGACTCTATTTTGAACCACGATTCGACAATATATCATGAAGAGTACTGAGCTTTACTCAGACTACAAATACCTACCAAGTACATATATTATAACTAATCCAGTTACAGAAAATATATGAATACCATTTAGTTCCTTATGGACCATTTTATTTCAACAAATAAACATTAATGAAAAAAGGCACCGAAATATTTAAACTCACTGACAGGTTAGTCACGAAATAGACCCCAAGCAATTCCTTAAAGTAAGCATCATGGATGTGTTTAATCTGTCTGTTGACTATATCAAGATCAGCTACCAGCAACTTTTTTCTCCGTGCAACCGTGATAAAATGCCGAACCAAGCTAGCTTGCTGCTTCAGAAGTTGCTGAGATGCTGTATGACATCGTGTCATTGCCTGTCGAATACGGTGTAACTTTTTACGTTCTGAAATCATGCATAGCATAGTAATTACGACTTACTCTCTAAATTCATTTCGGTGAAAAACTCAACTGTACGTTCCAGCGACGAAATGTCAACATTCAACTCCTCGATTTTACTCTGCTTTGATATTAAAGTATGAATAATAGAATCTTACGAAGGTGTGAAAGACGGACTTGGACAATATGGGTTCATATACTTTGATCCTATTCCACAAATCATTCTAATCCTTAAACCTACTTTATATTCAAGTCATTGACCAGTTTCCGGACTTTCACAATTCGATCAGAATTTTGAGGAAAGCTGTAAAACAACTTATTTGATAGAGCTTTCTTACCCAAGTTTTCCCGACGTTTTTGAGAATATAGAGTCCTTTTTAACACAATCAGAGCAGACAAAAGTTTCTTTGAATGATTCGCATGTAGGACATTGGAGATTTAAATGGAACTGGGGACCACGATCAAGAGGAGCATTGAAGCAAGGTGATTCTAGTATTTGAAAATCAGCGAGAGCGATGTCGGTAACCGAGTCGTCAAACATGTACTGTCTGACTAATGGTACAAAACATATAAAGCCAATGGGTCACTGTCACTTGTAAAGCATGTAAATCGTAACCTTCAGGCAGTTTGCTGATAACCCGAATATACGCCTTGATTAAATAAACATGAGAGAAAGCGTAAGTATGGATAATAACACTTCATTAGATTGCCAGAATCTCTATTTACAAAAAGTCAGGAAGAAATAACCTCAAAAATTGATTAAATCCATCCAATATCTTTTTCATGAGCTAGTATAAACTATCCAATGTCTTTGCTCTCGATGCTTGTTCTTTCGGTACGATTCTGGGCACTTGGTAGTGTCCGATGGATGGTGGTCTACCCACCCGACTGCACTAATTCTAGTCATTTGGCAGCTGTTTGTGAGTTTGTATGTCCAATGATTTGGGTGAAAACGTTCTTTTCAGGGGATTAGGGTTACTGGTTACCAGTAGCTGTCACGCTATCAGACCGGAGATCAGTTATTCGCAATGTGCATAATTGTGAGAAGAAAAATCCAATGCTAATGAGATTTAAGACTAAGTAAATAAATGGATAAATAAGTTAATTAACCGGTAGTGAAGACTGTGTGAGGGGACAGAAGTGTAAACGAGGGAAAGGCTAGATATAATAATTTAGTACTATGAATAATGGCAATGATAACAACTAGCGAGTTTCGAGGAATGTATGAGGTTCAGCTAGTCCATGAGTGTGATGACAGTCCGTGAGTGAAGACGTGTTTATCAAGTCTATTATTGAAGCTGCCAAGTGACAGGCTGTGATCAAAACAGCTGAGAAAGTCTCCCTTCAATGGGCAATTTTTTGAGGATCACTTCGAGGACCATGTTTTAGAATGGCTTTTTCAGTGAACTTACAGGTAAATATGTCAGCGATTAATGCACAGCCTAAGATATCTAAAAGCCGGCGATATAAATCCGAAATTAGTAATGAACCGTTTCAAACCCCGTTAACGGTCAATGCTCAATATCTATTTCATGCAGTTGTGAAAATCGTTTTTGTTTGAGCTCGTTTGTTGTTTACATACGATTAAATATCAGGGGTCTGAAACAACTTCGATTGCATTACTAGGATTTCTCAATGCAGGGAAAGCCAAAGTTGAAGACGCTTTAGCGAAACGCATTTACAGCACGACAATTCTACACGTAGGAGCATCCGTTAATCTCTTATCTGCTCCAACACATGTATATTTGAATTGGCACCAGAGCACTGTGTTCGATTAAGTCTGATTCAAATGGACCTCAAGCAACAGATGTGTTCGTGCGACTTACCTGACCACTTGTAACACACGTATTTGTACAAAGAGGCTATTTTTATCGACTCCATCGATACATTTACAACAGATACTCTGGAGTTCTTCGTCGTGGACTTAGGTACTATACGACTAACTGGGACATGATTAACGGTCGCAACCTCACTGACAGGCTGAAAGCCAAATTTTAAGGGGGAAAATCCTAATTTGTTGACCTCCGCAGCACATTATGAGTATAACACAACCCATACGACTATGACACAATCAGTAAATACCTCGAATGACTCGCTGTTGGAGATCCGTAAGATTGACAGAACATGCTGAAGACTGTCAAACACAGAACAACCTGGGAGCACATTTCTCTCTAATCGTTTACCATGTTCCAAAACTGTTTGAACTCCTAAGTTCCACTATATCGAAAAAACAAAATTCTTTATATACCCGTGTATATTTTATTGAAATAGAACAGATTGAGGTGTCTCTAATACACCCATAAATATACATATGAATTTTTCAAAATGTCAAGAAAATATTTTGTATCTTATTTATATCGTCGTAAGCATACATACATATCAGACGCAAGTTGTGAGAATAGTACTAACCGGTCTCTCGCACGTTGGTTTCTAACTTTCAGCTCGTTTCGTCTTAGGGACACTCATATTCCACTATGGGGGGGGGGTGTAGCGGCAAACAAATCTCTGAAACAAACAGTTCTGTAAGCTTTCGACAATGATGCTGACATCATCAGTTTTGGTAGAAGTATTTATGCTGAAGGTGCAAAGTCATGCATCAGGAAGAGATCATCGATGGATGTGCCATGCAACGAATATCCTCGGATCAACAAGGAAACTTAGTTCACTCATTCCTTGACATTACCAACCATTACTTGAATACGCATTCAGTTCTCATCATTCCTGAATTCCTGCATGAATTGTCTTTAGGTATCCACAATCTAACACGGGTTATCCATCTCTGAGTATCCGTGACATACTCACACTCATTTTAAGCTACAGATAATAATACGTAACATGTTCGTGAAATTTATTAATAATAAATAGTATTTTAAAACTTCAAGCAACTTTAATACAGAATTTTTGAAGTAAGCCGGGCCATCCAAGATCGTGAGAAAACGTTTGAAGTTTACAACCCGACGTATCATGAATGTCCACTCCAGTTGTTCCCTTGAAGTTTCCATCATCGTGGTTTTTGTTGAGATTGTTAAAAATAAGCACTAGAGGTAACGTAAATCAAAATTTCATTTTTTTTTAGGCGAAGCGCCTCAACAAGTTGTACATTGACGATTTTATCACAGATGATTATTTGAGGGAATGTTAACTGGAACTCAGTGCCTGTGAGTAATCTTCATTTCCACAGTCACTTAGCACATGTCACGAGATTCTTATGAGAAGTAAGTTTGAATTTTAGCACTTTCAGTTGCGAAATGGCCCACGAATGTCATAAGAAAACTTTCTCTGTTGGTCTAATCTTCAGAACCGTAACGAATTTAACGGATACCGTGAAGTATTATATGAACAAGACTGTGTTTTTAATGCCTAATATATCGGTCAAGGGCACTACACTCAGAAATTCCTCTTTCACTGCATCAACACACAGCAATGAATCATAAGTCAACCCCGGTCAAAACTACCTCCTTTTCAATGGAAAGACCTTGAGCGTCCGAGGTGATGGCGGGCATTCGATATCCGGATGCGTCGGAGTGGTTCGCTCGTACTCAAGCTGTTTCACTTTTCTAGGATTTTGGTATTCTTACATGCTGGACGTTTAAATGAAGACATTTTTGTTGATTGGTTATCTGCAATTTTCATCTGTTGCCTTGCATTTTCACGTTTCCTATGGTGGTAATGTTTAACATAGATTTCTTTGATAAACAGCTGTTACTTTTTACGTTTTTATTAATCTCATTTCACTTCTACAATCACTGTACAATATTCACTATCTTTTTCACGAGCTAATATAAACTACCCAATGTCTTTGAGCACGATTCCTGTTCTTTCGGTAGGGTTCTAGGTTCCAGGCAACTATCACGTTACCAGACTACAGTTCGGTTATTCACAATGTGGGCAATTGTAAGAAAAAATTCCAATGCTAATAGGATTTCAGAACTAAGTAAGCAAATGGATAAATAAGTTAACTTTAACTTTATATTTGTCATCGCGCGCGCTTCGAAATTGACGCGTCCTGGATGATCCCCCACCATTCACAGGAAACGTTCCAGTTTTGGTTAACAGATTGGGATATTTAATCATACCCGAAGATATAAAAGTTTTTTTCATTCATTGGTTGAAAATCGGACAAACGGAATCATTTTCAAGTCAGAATCACTGATCTAGCTGTCTTGTTCAACTACTCTCTTCCCAATTGCTTCGGCAGCATACAAACATTCATTCATCAGAAACACAGTACAGAAAAGTTTTTGAATCCATGCGTAGCTGTTTTCTAGGATGGTCAAAGGCAAAGTTGGCACATAAAGGGTACTTTCAGGTTCTAATCTTTCGTAGTTATATTTATTATTACTGTTTTCCTGCTTTCAAAACTCCTATCTTGCGTATTTACTGCCTTCAGTAATCTCGTTTTTCATCTATAAATCTATCAGGTATCATGTTCGATAATAAGGTTGCTACCGATTCTAACACAGCAACAACTTGGAAAACCAGTATCGGTATGAATTCCGGGGGTAGTAGTAAGTTGAAAATCCCGTTATTGAGCGACAGAGTTATGAAAGACCTTAAAACGTCACTTGATATACTACTTTGAGGCAATGTTCACAATCTGTATCACTAGACCCAAACGCCTACACAGGGTCCCCAACATAGAAACCGAGGCGACACTCTTAGGATTCCAACTCCTAGAAAGACCGGCATGCCAAATAAGAATGGGAGGAAAAGGAGAATGGTAGGCTCAGCTGACACAGTCTATCGTCATGAAGTCGCAGAAGGATAACTGTATCACCTGCTTGTTGTCAGTAAAGACCGGTAACTCTGCATTCGAACGCAACTTCTGCAGTACATGGGTTTATCGTCTGTACGACACTACAGTACTTAGAGTGTGCCGCGCGTTCGTGCAGAGTTACCGCTGTCCGTGGTTCTGTTATATCTATATGTCCGCGGTGAAGAGTAACTGAGACATAACTGGATCCATTGGCCCCAACTAAAACCGATAAACCTAAACCGCCCGGCACTAAACCAGTGAAACAGGCAACCGAAACAGCCCAAACCCGAACCAACACACCAACCAAGCTGTCGGTTGCTGTGAACCCCTAGTATCTGTTAACAGAACGAAGCAGCGGGTGAGCGAAAAAAGGGAAACAACGTAACAACTGGTAAAATGTTACCAATCAATGAGAGGAACGTTAGGATGAATTCACTATCACTGTTTAATGTTCCAATGTCGGTAAGTAGCTTATTTTAAGGTAGGGCTGTCTTTTATAAAGAACAATGGGAAAATCACTGTGAGATCCTCGGAATTTGTAACGCCATCGCCAAAATATGCCGTCTTTTCAAAGGGCAGAAGGTCGCAAAAGGGAAGCCCCGTCCAATGACGGTGACCTTAGACTTGACACAACTTCCCGCAGATATCGTACTCACACCTCAGAGACCCTCAGTTAGGCAAGACAAACCGTGGTCAGTAAGAGCAGCAGCCATGACATCACATGGCAATGAAGAGCAAACCGGTACGGTAGTTCACGGCGTGCCCGAACTGGTGGGTGGTAACTTGGACGATGCCCACATCTATGACGTACATCAGTGGCGATGGCTATCACGTAGCATGTTACTTAACACCACCACGGCATCTAGCATTGCCTGGCTGACTCGTCCGTCATAGCTCACGTCTGATGGCTGTGGACTCCATAGATCGGGAAGCCCTATCTCAGGCGCTTCGGGATTGGTGCAGCCCGAAGAACGATATATCTAGCCATATAAAGTGCTGCGATAGTCGACCTAAATCTGCGAGACAACAGCAGGGAAATCAAAATAAAAGCATTAAGTGACAATTGACCTCAACCAACGACCGTCGGCACAAGACAAGAAGATAATAGTCTCACACATTGAACGCATTGCTCAGGCACAAAACCTGCAGAGGCCAATTCCAATGAACTGGCTAACTTGGTTTGAACAACTTGTTCGAAAATCCAACAACGGCTCTTGTTGCAGCGATACATCAGATTGTATGACAAAACAGCAAGTTCTTGTATAGCAACGTAAGATAGATAAGGGTTAAACTACTACAAATCCGGAATATGTGTTCCCAGACGGGTCTGAAGATCATAATCCTAACTGGAACATCGCTATTCCTTGATATAGCGGACGGTGAAGTGGGCCCGCAGGGAATGACACTCTTCCGAAGCGAAAGAGGACAGCAGGTAGTAGGCGGAGAAGCTACATATATATAAACTGCAATCCAAAAGCCGGAATACCAAACGACACTCAACTGATAGAGACGATATTTTGCGATTGTTTCCACACAAATGGCACGAAATGCCTGATTGGAGGGATTTACCAGCCCTCTTCAGGAACTAGGGCCCAGAAAGACAAACCAACTGAGGCAATACTGCAACTGCCACTCCTTTGGTTTGATCAAATACCGTAGCTGGAGATTTCAACACTCCATCTCTAAATCTCAGTAAACAGGTTACGACTCCCACCGGCTGGTTCCGAAAACGATCTGGTGCAACCATTAGAAGCTCTGAGTTGACTTAACTTATATGCAGCGCCACCAAATGAACTGAGAGAAAATCCTCAAACTTTGATTATTTTTTATCCTTTTATCAGCTCCTGGTCGGGGATGTTCACGTCCATACACCAATAGAAAGTAGTGAACCATGGCACAATCTTGTTTAACATGGTCATAAACGAAGCACTCAAGTAGATAGAAAACTAGCCCTACGTTTGCCACACTGGGGCAAATTACGCATGCATGAGAGAGTGTCCTCAACTCCCCACAGCCACGATATTGGTCACTGGCAAACAGTGAGAGACATTGCCCAGAATGCTTTCCTGAAAAATGTACCTGAGGCAGGTAACTAAGGTCATGCGAATCCAGTCATCTCATAGCATGGGACAGTTGAACATCCTACTAGAAATACCGGTGCTCATAATATTACCTGACTATGCAAAAGCCTTTGATACAGTACCCCACTCACTCTTATTTGCAAAGGCTGTGAAAATAGGTTTCATTGACCCACTCCTATCTTGTGTCAGAAACCACCTTGAGCATAGAAAGTTTCATACCAAAATCGTGAGTTTCACAAGGGACCATCTTAGACCCACTTTTCTTCCTCTAACTATCTGTTAAACACCATTCGCTCGGAGGCCTTGATCTACACAAGCGATGTGAAGATCTGGAGGTCTGTAGGAAGCGGTGAGAGTTCAAGTGAGCTTTGCAAAGACACTGAGGATCGGACAGTGAAAAAAGGTTTAAAACTAGGCCAGTGGAAATGTCATGTCATGGACATTCTACCCCACAAGACGCAAACGATTTACACCCTCAATGGAAGTTCGCTCCCTAATGTCTCCTCCGAGGGTGATCTCAGTTTATTAACCACCAAAAGCCTCCACACAAGCTCGAACTATATAGGGGACGCAATCAGGGCTGGTGTAACTCTTCACATTATACGAATACAACATGGTGCTAACACCCTAAAATTATTCTTAACGTTGCTTGAGACGTATGCGAGTACACACCTGGAGCTTTAAAACATCGTTACAGCCACTCTCCTTAGAAGAGACATAAATCTTTTGGATCGAGTGCAGAGACAAGCAACGAATTGTGTGATAGGTTTGAAGAATGAAACTTATGAAGATAGACTCTAGCAATGGGGATTATTGCAAAGGCCTTTAACACAGTACCTCACGCACGCCTCATCGAAAAGGTTGTGGAAATGGGCTTCACTGACCCACTCCTATCTCGGCTCAGAAACTACCTTGAGAATAGAAAGTTTCGCATCAAGGTAAACAGAGTGCACGCGAGTTGGCGAGTATCCACATCGGGAGTTTCACAGGGGACCATCCTAGGCCCACTCGTCTTCCTGATATTTATTAACGACCTGCTAGGCTCAGTTAGCTCACAAGCATTGATCTACGCAGACGATGCGAAGATCTGGAGGTCCATTAGAAGCGAAGAGGATTCGACTGAGCTTCAAAAGGACCTTACATCTTTTGAGAAATGAGCAGTGAAAAACGTTTTAAAACTCAACCAACCGAAGTGCCACATCATGCATTTCCTGCCTCATATGACGTAAACGACCTATGCCCTCAATGGAAGTCCGCACCCTAATGTCTCCTCAGAGCGCGTTCTTGGTTTAATAACCACAGAAGGTCTCCACACCAGTCCAAATTATGTAGGGGGCGCAGCCAAGGCAAACGCGTCTCTTCACTTTATGCGAAGACAGCTTGGTGCTATCACCCCGAAATTATTTTTAACCCTGTTTAAGACGTACGCGCGCCCACACTTGGAGGTTCACAACGTCATCACACCCCCTCTGCTTAAAAGAGACATAAATCTCTTGGATCGAGTGCAGAGACGAGCAAGCAAATGGGTGATAGGGTTGAAAAATAAACCCTACGACGATAGATTCCAGCTCTTGGGATTATTCCCACTGAGCTACAGGAGAATCAGAGGTGACCTGATTATGGCGTACACCATATTAAACACGCCAAACCATCCCAATATGAGCATCTTACCGATGCATCACCACCACTCCCCTCGAGGCAGTCCTCGAAAGATTGCACATCAAAGAACAAATACTCAGATTCGTGCACACTTTTTCTCATTGCGAGTCGTCGCAATTTGGAATGCTCTCCCAGCCGAAGTAACCACAGCCTCCTCAGTGGACTGCTTTAAGAAGAGACTTGATAATCACGTACTCACATAAGGATTATCATCTCCCTCTTCGACAAGCTGTTCATGATGCATATATTGAGATCTGCTAGTTTTTACCATTGCCATCTCCTCAGATCACTCAATTGATCTATCTCGCCTATTATCTCTGTTTCCTCTCCCTTGCTTACACTTCGGTCCTCTCTCACAATTTTCACCACCAATAAATACACTAAATTCATCCATATATTACTCAGTTCTGAAATTTTATTCATATTATCATCATAACTTTATCCTTATTACCCTTATTACTCTCCACATTGCAACTAACTGATCTCCGGTGTGGTAATGTGACGGCTGCTAGTATCCAGAAACCCTACTGCCCTGAAACAAACGTTTCATTCGAATCCCGAGACATACAGATTCATAACCAACTGCCAACTGACTAGAATTAGACAGTCGAGTAGCTAGACCCCCATCCATTGGACATAACCGAACACCTGGAACCGTACCGAAAGAACAAGAATCGAGCGCGAAGAAGTCAAATTGGTTTACACTAGCTCGTGAAAAAGATATTGGATATTGGAAAGGAGGTAGATTTGACCGGGGTTGACTTATTGTTCACGCCCGCTCATGCTCTTTAGCCTTTTTTAGTACCTATATCTGCGGTAAACGTATTGATGACATTTGATTTTCAAACGTACTGTAAACTAAGTGGAGATTCATCATAAGTGAAAAACTGTGATGTTTGGGAATACCAATATTCTTCTAAAGAAATTACAATTCTGATCGGTAAATGTAAGGGCATTAAATAAAATGACTTCTCTTTACTCTCCATTCAACAATGTGAGTTGTAGATGTAGTCATCATTAAATGCGTTCAACCAATAACTTGCGGAACACTTGTTTCCTGCATTAACAATTAATTAACTTAGTTATTTAGTTCTTGAAACTATCGTTTTGCAGCATCTAAAATCCTCCTTATTACTTGGCTTGTTGCAACCAACCAACCTCCTGCTACGTGTGAAGAACGCTCACTGTCACGAGATGAACACACTTGGATTACAAGACATCTATTAATAACTTCTAGACGGACTAGAATTAGTTTTGTTAAGTGGCCAAACTACCACCCATTAAACATGCCTGTATGCCTGTAACCGCAGTGATGCAGGAAAGAACGAGCGCGAAGAAATCGTTTAATATGGAGTATGGGATATAATTTAGAACATCAGATATCTAACCTAATGCAACTCAACACTCCAAAACCTCACTCGTAAAGGTGGTGCTGATTAACTTTAGTGCCTTTTATCTGTTACTAAAAGAATATATATGTCTTTTGAACACCACCATTAGTATTGACATAACTTTATAAGCCACTATTGAGCAACTGTGTTGTCGTGATTTTCGACTCGAACATATCATGGAAAGTCAGCTGAAGTAATTCGTAGGCAGTTACCTAGAGGAACTACCGGTAGAATGTTGTCTGTTGGTTGGTTCTTGCTAGTTTAACGCGAATGACTCTGATTTCCTAGGTCTCCAACAAGAAAAAAGATTGTTCCCAATCTTGATTTTTATCTGTTATTAGTCACTTGCTTATCGAGTTGCAAAATTATTCCGTCGGCACAACATCAATCCAAGTTTCCTACTATTCAAGTGGATTGTTGTGATCTAAACGGTCTTAAAGAACCTCTGTGATCTTGTCAGAAAAATAATTTTGTGTTCCCTATTGAGCACATAAATCCGTGGTTTGAATGAGAAGCAATGCTATGCCTTACTTGTGTTTCGCAAGTGAGTCAGTCAGTAAGTTAAAACATAGAACTTCGTACATGAGTACATAAGTTCAGAATGCCATACCGCATCAGTACAGAGACGCAACTGTTAGTTCAAATCGCATGATCTTTGTGTCGTACTCTATAACACAGAAGATATGTGGATATCATTCAGTGTGATGTTTTTCGTGTCCAAAGCTCTCAGCTGGTGATATGACCTATAATTATTTTCTCACCTGAAATTTTGAGTAATATCATTTCACCCGCACTGGAAACGGTTGGTGTTACCTAAACGTGAAGTCACACCAGACGATTCGAATGTAATTTCCACATACCTCAACCGTTATCTTAGGGTATATCTAAGAAAGTTTTAAGTATAAAGAAAACAGTTTTTTCCATCTGTCTCAGCGTTTAAAAACAGGAAGGATTTATCATATCTCCTAACTTTATTCGCCTTCATCGATCACTTTGGAATGCTATTTTTAAAGGACGGTCAAAAATGTGATTTTAGTGTCAAGTGCGAAAATTTACTGTCAAAATCACATGCAAATGTTTCAAAGTAAGATTTCATGTGTTGCGAAACCAGTGGTCAGAGAAAATTGGAATGGAATTACTGACTAGCAGCTTTAAGTTTTCGACTGGGTACCACATTCGTGCCCAGTGACTTAGGATAGACAATTTGACTGATTCCTTTCTGCCAGTCTTACCATCTTACTTCTTTTTAATGGTGGATTCTTTTGCTCATTATTACTTGATAAAAAGTCAAAATTATGTATGCTTACCTTACTATCTGTTCGTTTTTGTTTTGCAGATTCCGGCGCTATTTGAAATAACCTGGTAAAACATTTGTTCATGCTGTCTCATCAATAACATATTCACCAACTAGACGCAAAGCTACTGATCCTCTAACATTCCAAGGAATGTCTTTAGAATTATGGCTTTTATCGCTAATATCCATTATAACAACCTTAGTCTTAGTGACATTTATAGTAAGCTAAAACATTTTGAGTCCAACTTTGTATTTCAGCTCCTGATTGTAATGTACCTTACCACAGATCCATATCCAAACCTATCTAGAAGCAGTACAGAAGAATGTTTTTATGATCCTGATCAATCTAAGTACATTAAATTACAATTTGGGCTCACTGAAAGACCAGAAAAAGAATTATCAGTTATAATTCCAGCTTACAATGAAGTTGAACGCCGTAAGTATACTTAAACACATTTCATATATTTCAGTTCCTTCAATGTTGACTGAAGCATTGGATTACCTTCATAAACGAAGAGTAATTTTACAATTTCTAATATATTTTGCTAAAAGGATTCAAATAAAAAGTTCACGTTTGAAATAATTATCGTAAATGATGGTAGCAAAGATCATACATTAGAGGTAAAACAATTTCGATATACAATCGACCTGTAGATTGCTCATAAATATTGTAAACTCGAGGGTTCAGATACAATTCGTGTAATATCTTTAGATCGAAATCGTGGAAAAGGTGCTGCAGTCAGGATAGTGAGTCGTAGTTTATAAATAATTGAGTTCTTTTGCTTCAGCCTTATTCCTATTTCCTTAAATTCTTTTTCTCACTGAAATAAGTTTAATGACTAAGTAAACATTTCAAATATAGTGGTGTGATTATTCGACCGATGCTAAACATGTACAACGCATTTAGCTAACATTATCTACGTTCACTTCTTCATATTTGAATTATGTGACTACTTCGAGACCAAAATCGAAGTATTTTAGAATAGCTGGATATATTCTGGTATAAGTCAACGTCCTCAGCTTTCATTTAGTATGCAGCGCGTTTAAACATCCGGATTAAACCAGTAACCATTTACATATTGCAGCTTAAATTCACTTAGTGTGTTGGAATCCAACTTCATCTTCTTTGGCAATGTCATTTCGGCAGTATTTCCAATGATCTCACCATCCTTAAGTAATACTCAGTATAATTTTGAACATGTGTCTAACGTTTTGCAAAGTCCTTTGCTTCTAATCGTCATACTGCAAAAAAAAAACAATAGCGGAGTGCGACGCAAAAATATGATTATTTACTTTGTTGGGACAATGAAACCAACATTAATACTAGATACTAGACTTGTTTAGTTTTTTTGTAACTCAAGCAGCTAAAACCTCTTTGGCTTCTTTTTCAGCAGTACTTTATATACACATATATATATATGTGCAGTTACCATTATTACTTTAACTGAACTATTTCTTTTTTAGGGAATGCTTTCTGCACGTGGCCGTATACTTCTGTTTGTAGATGCAGATGGTGCGACTCAATTTTCCGATATTGAAAAACTTGAGGAGGCCTTAGCTTCATCTGTAGCCAATAGATGGGTAATTCAAGCAAGTATAAAATTCTACTTAATCTTGATTTTTTTTAACTACTTACCATGCTTAGCAAGTTCAAGTGTCAGTTACATTTCACTGAACCAGAGAAAAGATTCAGTTCTCAGCAAGTTTTATTGCCGGTAATGTTAAAATTATCAGTATACCACAGTAGTATTAAGCACCAGTGAATTTAGCCTTCTTATTTCACGTACCTCAGTCGCTAAAGTTATTACGTTTATCCTCAAAATGCAACTATATCCGGACTAAAACCGCCAACCTTAATGAGCAATGTTGTCTGGTTTAGGAGTAGGCTACAGCGAGGCCGGGGGTGGCCAAACCAACACATGGTATCAATCTGTGAAGACACGGACTATTGCACTAAGACATGTTAATAGGTGTAAACTACCTGGCCGGCTCCGTCTGATTATCATAACTATAGGCTAGAGAGACTCCAGATGGTGATGTATTCACTTCTAGTCCTCCTCTGGAACCAGAGTTCTAAAATTTTGTATCTTTTTATTTTTTTGTACCTAGTATTTCATTACTAGTGTTGATTCAGATGCTACTCCTACTACTGTGAGATCCGTCTTAAAATATTTTTATCTCTCTGTTCTAATTCGGTATGACCCTTTGAGAATCGATTCATTTACGTGTCAAGCTATACGTTGCGTATAGTGAACTTAATAACCTTCGAAAAAATTTTAAGTAAATCGACCTTATCCACTTATAAGTGATTCACACATAGAAATACCGGTGTTCTTCTACTTCTCATCGATCAGAACATTCATGAAAATCTTTATGTCTTGTCGCCTCCATATCATCGTGTTACTTCGTCCATGTTGTAAAGAAATAAACTCGATAGTTAGTCAGGGCATGTTGATAAAAATACAGGACAGAAAATAGGTGATCGTTACTCGATATAGCGGAAATCTCGTAGCACTAAAAACGACCCTCCTTGTAGAAGCCACTACTCACTGTCTTTCATAAAGGAACTCACAATGGGCAACACTATACATAATCGTAGTGGTTCATTTTCACATATTTTCTGCTTAGACTGTATGAGTAGATCTGGACATAACTTTTTTTAACTTGATGTAATCTTTCGGACTTATCAACCACCAATCCATATTCTACCTAACACCAAACAAACAGTGATTTTTTATCCTCAACACCATTTACCTTTATTGCTTTGTTATTATTAGAATGGTGGTATGGCGGTGATATGTGGTTCTAGAGCACATTTAGAAGAACAAGCACTCGCTAAACGTCATCCATTACGAAATCTACTCATGTATGGATTTAAGTTATTTGTTTGGCTTGTATGTGTCCGTGGAGTTCGTGATACACAATGTGGATTTAAATTGTTTAGTCGACCGGCTGCTCGTTTATTATTTCATAATTTACATGTTGAACGCTGGGCTTTCGATGTGGACTTGCTTTATTTAGCTCGACATTTCGATATGAATATTGTTGAAATACCTGTGCATTGGCAAGAAATTTCAGGTAATAATTGTATTTTTATATACAGTTTTGTTTTGTCTACTATATTTTCTTCAGTTCAGTAAAACATATCTTTCGAGTATTTTTTTTTAGTGCAACAGTTTCATATTAAGTTCAGTAGTCGTTTTAATTAAT